CCTCAGCCTCCCATGTTCTGGGATTCCATGTATGTGACAACACACCCGGCTTTTCCTAGGGTGACCTCCAAATGATATGAGAAACATAACTCCCAACCTGCTAGATGTCAGACAGGCTGAGTTCCTCAAAATCAAAGAGTGAATTCTAAGGAATAACAGAGATTAAGAGGAGAAAATTTTGAGGGAGAGACAGCCCCTGAGAGAGGCAGGAGGGGGCCCGAGTGGGCTGCCAATGAGCCTACTTCTCGAAGGAAGTTTTAGAGAACAAAATCACAAGATGGGCACAACGTGGGACAAAACTATGATCAACCAATAAGACTGCAAGTGTAAGCCGCTTAGGTAACGCTGCTCTAGTGGAGAAACAGGTCACAGGTGTGCTCGCAATCAGATGGGGCTGGACCCTGAAAAGGTCAGGACAGAGTCCACTGTGGCCGGAGGCACAGCCACTGGAGGCTTCAAGAAAAAGAGAAACTAGTCACCCACACACTTGCCCTTGAGCTGCAGAGACTGACATTCAAATTAGGCATTAAGCGCCTGGCTGGTGGAGGACCAAACCCCCTTACTCCACCCCATCCAGGAAAGTCCTGGGCCCCCCATGTGCTTGCTACCTGACCTGATTCCCCACTTGAACCCCGTTTTCAATATCTAAGTGATTATACGTGTTAAAATCTTATTGGTTCACCATAGACTTGTCCCGCCTCACACCCATCTTAGGCGTTTCCACTGGATCCATATTACCTATACAAATGTAATCTTATTGGATGCTTATAGTTGCATCCCACCTGGACCCTGCCCCACCCTCCGCCTTGCTGGACAACCCCTCTTCTAGGTCTCCTTCTGCCCCTCTTAGACAGAAGCTTTCTCTCTCTCAATACATGTTTCCCACTCTCACCTGTTGGTCCTACAGTTCACTCCTCGATTTTAGAGAGTGTAAACTCTGGCATCTCTGACATCTAGCAGGTTGGGAGTTTCTTTCCCTGCTGTGGGTTTCTAGCTGTGCCTTCACAAGCGGTGTGACAATGGCTACCATTGTGCACCTGCAGACACATGCACGTATGTCTGTAGGATCAGTTCCCAGCGGTGAAAGTACAGAGTCAAAAGACATACATTTTAAATCTTGGTAGGTTCCGCCCAGCTCCTGTCCAGAGACCCAAGGCCCCTCATTAAGGTCCGGGAGCTGCTTTGCGCCCACACCTCTATCTGCCAACACTGCCACCTGCTGCTTATCCTAGGAAATGCAACCTTCCTATGCCCCGCACAGAGCAGCTTCCAGGATAGAGGCCCTCTCTGCCTTTACCCAGGCTCCCCGAGGGGTGGGGGGTGGGGGGGAATGACAAAACCCAGTCCCCCCCCCCCCCAGGCAACTGGGGCTGAGATTCATGCACAGGTTTTGCAACTAGACGAAGTTTCCACATTGCTGGCTCTGCCACCTACCAGCTATGTCTGCGACAAGAGATGCCAGCCTTCCTGTCCTTTTCCGCAGCCTTCAGCAGTGATAGCAGGATCTGATACAACAGATTGTTTTTAGAACGATGCGCCATGCGCAGAAGCTCACAGGGAGGTAAAGCAGGGAACACTG